CATGGAAACCTAGTATAATGGGTAAATTTAAATCAAAAGGTTACCCAATGCTATAATGGGTAAATTTTTCAAAGTACAATGTCCTAATAAAAAATAATTTGAAAGTAYATTRYKGTAATAAGAAAAACTGAAAGTACAATGCTATAATAAAGAAATTTATGAAAGTAGATTGCTATTTTATGCATTTTGCCCAATAACTAATTATACTAAATATGATTTAATTTTATTGTAATACTGGAAAAAGATATTGTTTTGATGTTTTATTGTAATTAAAAATTTAATTTAAACAAACCATATCTTATTTTACTTGTAGGAATAAAATAAGATATGATTTTATGATTTGATTTGTTAAAATTAATAAATTAATTATGTTAAAGACGATTTAATCTTATTATTCGTTTTCCATCGTTGCAATAAACAAGCTTATTATCGATATTTTAACAACAAAATTATTGAAAACCACTAAGAACTGAACTCCATTTTTATCATCATCAAATTATGTATCCAATTTTCGTATTGTTTTTATCCAAAAACCGAAAATCAACTATTTAAATTTAAGCAGATGAAAGATTCATGCATACCTTTTTGTGATTTAAAATTGAACAAATCTCCATATAAGCTTCAACCAGGTTTTTCATATCGAAATAGGCAAAAATCCTAAAACAATAAAGTTAAATCATATTTAATATAATTAATTTTTTAATTTAAACAAATCTAATCATAAATTAATATTCTATTTTATTTATTTTGATATCGTTTATATATATATATATATATATATGCATACAAATATTGTTTTACTTTTTATAGGAAAAAAAGATAAAAGAATAGACAAAAAAGCTAAAATGACCAATGATTTAACGGAGTTAACGAAAACGTTAGTCAGAAAGGACCATAGTCAAAATAAGTTGAATACAACAAAAACCAAATCCACAATTAACATATTATAAGAACCCATTAAAAAAATATCAAAACACATGGACCAAATCTACAATTCATTCTTATAAGTTTTTTCATCAAAGTTTAATGATGTGCATATTTTGAGAAATTAATTTTTTTTTTAATATATATAACATACTTGGTAAATGTTTACATATAAATTTAATCTTTCTTTAATAAATCTCTAAATTAAATAATTAAAAATCAAGATGTTTAAAAAAATATTATATTCAATTTTAACTTTTTAGTTTTGAACAACACAACATTTATTGTATTATTAAAAAATTAATAAAAAATTAATTTTATTTATTAGTATTTAATTTAAAATCTTTTTATTGATGAGAATAATAAATCATTATCTCTGTTAATCAATAATATTAAGAAGTTCTTTAAATCTAAAGAATTTTTTCATCTCTCTCCTACTTCGTTTATTATAAAGAAAGTTTTAATAAATTTGTTAAAATAGAAAAATTAACTCAGTATCTCTATGGGGGTGTCTGGGATTGCTTATAAAAATAACTTATTGACTTGTTTCGTTGTGATACTGGTAATAAGCACTTTTGAGTGTTTGGATAAACAACTTATATCGGTGTCAAACCGGTAATAAGAAGTTTTTAAAGAAATTAAAGTCTTCTGACTTATAATAAGTTGATAAGTGCTTTTGTAGAAAAGTATAAGTTGTTTCAAATAAGCAATCCCAAACACCCTATAAATTATTAATTTTATCTATCTTAAATAATATGTTCAAATATCTTCAATATGCAAAAATAGAGATTTTAGAGTTTTTTTTTTTTTTTACAACAGCTATGCTAAAATATATGTTAAAATAAAGAAAAAGAATTATAAATCTCAAAATTTGGAGAAATTTATAAGGTGCCGTTTACCAAACGTTTAGCCGAGTAAGCGCTTATCAAGTAACCTTACTTTACTGGATGAATATGACAATGACTAAAAATCTTACCTGGTAAGAGCGAAGATAAGAATCGAGAGTCTTACTCGATAAATGAGAATGATGACTCTTACCATGGTTAGCGCTTATCGGGATAAATTGTTGCATACAA